TCGCCGGCGCATTGCACAGGCCGAATGGCATGACATTCCATTCGAATAGCCCATTTCGGGTGCAGAACGCAGCAGCACGGCGGGCCCTTGGTGTTAACTCGACCTGCCAATAACCTGAAGCAAGATCCAAGGTGCTGAACCATTTGGCGGAGGCGAGAGTGTCCAGTGTGTCTTGGATGCGAGGTAGCGGGTACGCGTCGGTGATGGTACGGTCGTTGAGGACCCTGTAATCGATACAAAGGCGGTAAGCACCATCCTTTTTATGCACCATAACGATCGGCGAGGCCCAACTGCTGTGGCTGCGGGTGGCAAGGCCGCTCTGAAGGTTCTCACGGATCTGCTGGTCTGCGTCCTGCTGCTTATCCCCAGCCATTCGCCGAGGAGGCTGCTTCACTGGAGCCCCAGGCCTTGTAATGATGTCGTGCTGCACAAGACTGGTCCGGCCCAGATCACCAGGTCCCCTGGAGAAGACACTCTCATAGGTACATAACAGGTTAGACAGTTCAAGTTTTTCATTGTCTTTCAGGTCAGTGGAACTCTGGACATAGAGCTCATGGAGGTGCTCTGGGACTGCAGGGAAGGTGGCTGGACGGCCTGCCGTTAGGGGGATACTGGGAGGTGGCAAAGCTTCAGCTGACTGGAGGAGGCCTGCAATGGCACCTTCTTTGACAGTGACAGGTTTGTTGCCAGGGTTGAAGAGTCGAATTGGAACAATCGCTGACTGAGTGTTGACTAGAGTTCTGGCAATGAGTGCTTTTCAACAAAACCTTTTGTAGGGCTGAGCATCATGTCTCCCTGAGCAGCTTTGTTACAGTGCACCGTGCCCTTTATCAGGTACTCTTGCCCAGGTTCTACTACAACAGTTCTCGCTATTCTCACAGCATGTGACTTTGGGGCAGCTTCTGGATGGAAGTAGGGCACTTCTTCTCCAAACAGAACTATGCGGTGCTTCCCAAAATCAAGGCGGGCCGCTGCTTGGGTGAGGAAAGGGTGCCCAAGTAGTACTTCATGACCCGCTATGTCTGCTACAAGAAAGTCCACTTCAAACTGGCGAGTGTTTATACTGACAGGTACTTTAGTTTCACCAACCACTGGTACGTCTCCAGGTCCCACGCCAATCAATGTCTCTACTATGGATGACTGAAGCGGGGGTCTTATGTCTTGATGGATGGCATTGTAATGATGTAGAGGCAGCACATTCCTCCGCGCTCCGCTGTCCAAGACTGCACATACCTCCAGTTCGTATATGGACATGTGGATGCTCATTTCACGATTCTGGCCCTTAAGGTGGAGCACAGTGGTCCGTGGGCTTTCTCGAGGGTTGCTCGGAACAAAAGTCTTTGCAGTTCTCGGTGAGGAGGAGCACTGGCTCTGCTTGTGACCCCAACCTTTACAGTTGTGACAGCGAATCTCACCCATTTTAAAGTTCTTTTGCTGCCTTGGTGTTCGAGTAGATGTGCTTGGGACAATGTGATCAAATGAAGGGCTAGCTGCAGGTGAGGTAGCGGTTACAGACTCATTTTTATCGCTTTCCCTAACAACAGCAGCCCGGGTCTGCATTCAGGGAGGCTACGGGCCCCTGGCTGCATCACTGTGGTGACATAAGATGCAGCCCTCTTTGTGGTCTCGTGACGGTGGGCGATCTCATAAGCTCTGGCTAGTGTAGCTGGACGTTTTTCTAACAGTCTTTGGACTAGCTCTGCATCACCAAGGCCATTTGTGAAAACTTCAACGGCTATAGCGTCTTGTTCAGATTCTGACCAATCTCCATAAGCTACAGCTACTTTCCCATAAATGTCATCTCTGAACACATGAAGGGCCTCACCGGTTTTGCGTACTCTTTGCCTCAGCTCCACTGCGACAGCTGCTGCATGTTCTGATGAAGGGCCGTATGCAGTTTCAAGTTCCTCCAGCAGGCGGCGGTAGTCCCATTTGGATGAACGAGGGTTTCGGTGGACAATGGCGCCTGCCGCTCCAGTGAGGCAGAATTTCAGCTGGGTGGCCATTGTTTTTGCTGACCAGTGATTTGCCTCTGCGCAGCTCTCAAATCTGTGCAGAAACTCTCTCCATGGTGTACTGCCGTCGTACTGACCAGGACGTAGTGTGGGGACTCTCTCTTTGGGGTCATAGTCCTCATCACTGTCCAATGGAGGAGGCTGACAGGGCGCTGATCGGCTCTTATATGTAGATTAGTGACAGGGATGGCTCACAGGCAAATGTTCATATTTTACAGTTTCTCCTTGAAGGGCATAAGGGGACAACATGGGAAGTGTGCGTGCTTCTGGTTTGGCTGTAGCCGGTGTGCTATGCACAAAACTTTCCATGTGTGCAGTGGCAAAGGGGTTTGTGTCTGCATAATGCATCTTTATTGGCATGTTTGGTGCAGGATGCTGGGGCTTACAAACCTCTGGGACAACCACAAAGCCGTGACTTTGGCTGACTCCTCTGTAAAAGGGATTAGTGGGGGAAGAATGAGCGGGGCTATCAAACGGCGCGAACACGTCTTCTCTACTAGCAGGTGTGCTAACGCACCTTTCATCACACAGAAATGGGTTGTAATGCTCACATTTGCTCTCAGTCCCGCTTTCATAAGCTCCCACAGTACCTTGTACGTTGTCCTGAACGTTGGTAAGTGACATAAATGGATTAAAATAGTTGGTTTCTTGTCCGTAAACATCGGAGCGATAGCGAGCGGCCGCCATGTTGTTCTTAGCTTAGCGATGGCGCTATCACAGTTGTATTACACAGCCACTCGGTTTCAGTTACTACTGTCCTTGTTTTATTGCTCACCGCTCTTTTTAACAGCGTGAGGGTCCCTTCGTGGTCGCCAGTGTTGACCTTTCCTGCCTTCAGTCTCCTAACCGTGGTCGGGGACACAGGGGAGAGCTTCCCTCCAGGGCCGGAGGCGACTTCTTCCTCCGGGGTCAACTCCGTTGGGCTTTCACACTGTCTGATGCGGCGGTGTAGCGTACAAGAAACAGGCCGTTTTATGCTGAATACTCTGGCTTTATTTACACAGCACTGTGGTAAAGCACATCCTCGCTACCTGCCCGGTCGCCGGCTCTCTCTGTGCTTCTCCGCACAGGCACACATACGTTCGCTCTGCGGGTCGCTCTCGGCGGCGCGCCTTGGCCATGCGCCCGCACTCACGTTCACACAGAGCGCTGCCTACTTCACATGGAGACACATCCCACAACAGTAGTGTTTAAAGATCAGTTTTTAAATAAAAGAATTTAAGAAAACAAATAAAGATTGAAGGCCTTCATAAGACAGTGCCATGACCGTTTAAGGTAGCTGTTGGAGCTAACACATAAAATTCAAAAGTTGTGGAGTGAAGAATTAAAGTTAACTTGTTACAGACTGGTTCAGAGACTCAAACGCTAGGCAACACGACATGGCAGACAGGCAGTTTAGAAACAATGATTTATTGTACACACAGAAAATAAGTACCGAACTCAGAGATTTGCAGGCAGGGCAAACTATGTCTATCAGTGATCGAGCTGAACAAAAAGAACTAAAGACATGGACCCGAGTTCGGTATCACCAAGTCGGGAACCGAGGAACCAAAACTAGACTAAGCAGAGGAACAACTAAAGGACACCATAAGGTGCTAACGAGGGAAATAAATAAATAAACAGAAAAGGCTAGCAGACCAAAAGCTATCTATTAAGCTAGCACTACGCACAGACTGGCAGATGTAATTCAGAACTAGGAGACACAGGACATACAGACTAAAAGAAGTCTCAAAAGCTAACGCTCCATACAGACAGGCAGACTTAATGCACTATTCAGATTTACACGACATACGGACGGGCAGACTAAAGAATGTCTTAAAGCTAGCGCTACAAAAGACGGGCTGAGTACTGATGCTAATAAAGGATGCTAAGTTATGAGGCTAGCAAAACCGCACCGGGAGAACCAGACCTGACATGAGCCGACCGAGTGGAGAGGGGAAGCAGGGAGGAGGGTAGGTGGTGCAGAGGAGTCGGCGTTGCCGCGGCTGCGGTGGAGAGGCAGGCGGAGACCAGGAGCGGACGCCAGGGAATCCAGGGAGGGAAAGGTGAGCGGAGCTGGTGCTGGTGAACTGATGGAGCCATAGTGATGGAGCGGCGTCGGGACTGACGAGTGGACGAGAGCGGGCAGGTGACAGGTGGAGAATCCGGTTCCTAATGGCAGGAGTCGCCGGCTGACGGAGTGGCTGGATGACGATGGCAGATGATCCGGGCTGCAGACAGAAAAGACAATATTAGATTGCGATCGACAAGGAAAGAGCAGAGGTTAAACAATCTTGGTCAGGAACTGACTGAGGACTGTTTACAGTCCGGCGACGAGTAGTGGTCTGGTCGTGGCTTAAATGCTGGTCTCATGATGAGACACTGTCCGCTCCCTTCATGCACATCACCAGCTCACGCCCACCTGGTTAGAGGAGAGGGAGAGAGAGAAAGGAGGAAAGAAGAGAGAGAAAGGACTGCCGCTACCTGGCCCTAGCGGCAGCGGGCGTGACATAATTTTCATAAAAAAGAAAGGAAAACCCCCCCCCCAAAAAAACTGTAGTTTGTTAACAAGAATATTGAGGGTGCAGATATATTTATATTTACATTTATACAGATTATCAGATAGTGCAGTTGAAGGTGTGGAGGTGCAACATGACCTATAGCAGTGCAGAGACGAGCATGCTCATGAACAGAGCCTAATGCACCAACAATTCCAGCCCTCTGGGCCAAGGCTCCAGATTGAGACCAATTCTGAGAAAAAAAAGAAAATTTGCTTGGTTTCAGTTGTTCAATTCAATTTTATTTGTATAGCACATATTTACAACAACAAGTCATCTCATAGCTCTTAACAAAGGCAGAAACACCCAACAATCCAAAAACATTTGGTTTCCTTATAAGCTTCAGCAGTCTGCAAGCAGTCTGCAACAGTGGGAAGGAACCGAAAACCCCTGCAGGGGAGAGAAAAGAAGAGAAAAAAACAAAAAACAAAAAACCTCAGACAGAACCAGGCTCAGGGAGGGACGGCCATCTGCCTCTACCAGTTGGGTGGATGTGGGATGAATAATAAAACTTAGTGTACTGTTAAACAAGTCATTAGAATTTATTGTCCTTTTGTTCCTCCATTTCAAATGGACCACTGAAATATTCCATTTCGTAGTTGGTGGAGGTAACCGGAGGGATCATGGTGGGGGCAGCAGGATGCAGAAGGTGAGGCCAGTGGCTGTAGTTCAGGAGCTCCAGATCCAGAGACATCCACAGAGAGAACAGTTGTGTGGGTTAATCATGAAGCTGTTGACCTGTCGCTTTAAACCAGGGATGAGCTGCTGATATGTTAGCTGCATTGGTGAAACGTAATACTTAAAACTAGGGCTGTCAGTTTAACGCATTAATTAGATTAATTAATTACACTGCAAATTAACGCGTTATAAAAATTAACGCAATTAATTATGAGTAGCAATTCAATGCGCGAGCATTTTAAATTTGGCCCATTGAATGACCTGTAGGCTACTTGGCAGTGGCACGTCACTTCCCACCTGCGTCGCTAGTCAAACAAAAAAAGTGACAACTGACATGGACGCGACTCAGGGGAGTGAGGCGAGCAAATCGTTGCTAGGGCCTTTGAACGACAAGTTTATTTATAAAAAGAACGAAGACGGGACTATCAACAAGAACGCGGTGATTTGTAGCTTTTGTAAAAAAGAATTTTCCTATCACCGAAGCTGCTCCAGCCTGACCTATCATTTAAACGCTAAACACGTCCGGGCAAGTTCCACTGTTACCGGTGCTAGTGCTACCGTGAGCTCACTTCGCCAACCCACGTTTGCAGAATTTGGGAAACAAATGAGCAAAGCCACCACAGAAAAACTGACAAACTCAATCGCAAAGTGGGTTGCTGCTGATTGCAGGCCAATTTCAATCGTGGAAGACGAGGGCCTTAAGGAGGCTTTTCAGATAGCGTTACCTGACCCAAATTTCCAGCTACCTTCGAGAACTACGGTGATGAAAAGAATTCACCAGCTGTACGGTAATGAAAGGAACGCAAAAGAAGAATTGTTGGCAGGGGCCTGCCATGTCGCCCTAACGGGTGATCACTGGACTTCGGTGAGCAATCATAACTACTTGGGAGTCACAGCACACATAATCGATAGTGAGTGGAAACTAAAGTCTTTTGCATTAACCGTGAGCAAAACGGTGACCCGTCATCATGCCGATGCATGCGCCGAGCAGGTCGATGCTGTGACAAAGGAATGGCAAATAGAAAACAAAGTGACAACGATCGGAACCGATAGTGCAAGAAACATGGTCGCAGCAGCACGCCAGCTACCTTTCGAGCACATGCCATGTGCTGCACATATGCTGCAAAGAACCATCACAGTCTCCCTTGAGCACAGCGGCTTTGACACCGCCCTGGCAAAGTGCCGCAAAATAGTAGGGCACTTCAAGCACAGCCCTGCCAGTACAGAAGAACTGCACCAGCAGCAGACTGCCCTCGGACAAGCCAGAGAGCCCCTGGTTCAAGACGTATCCACAAGGTGAGACTGTTTGCTACTTATTGGGGTAACTGATTCTGAATTGTTTTCTTGCTCCTGATGAAGGTGTGGGTGTGTGGGTGTGTGGGGGGTTCAGTGCTACTACTGTATGTACAACATGCCGCTCAAAACTTACAGCCCCCTGCGAGACTAATGCAGTTTTTGTTTTATTTTATGAAAGATGGAATTCGACACTCTAGATGATCTCACGGTACCTGCGGAACCAGGAGGCTGTGAATGCTACTTTGGCCACACAGAAGCACAACCTGGCCACACTGACTAACCTAAAGTGTGACAAACTGCAGAAGCTGGAGGTCATTCTTAAATCCTGCAAGTATGTCCCTCTCTCTCGCATGCACACCCGCGCACTCTCTCTCTCGCTCTCTCTCTCTCTCTCTCTCATCACACCTCACCTCTTACTCTCCCCCTTTCATACACTCACCTCTCCCTCCCTCCCATACACCACACACATACACACAACACACACACACACACACACAATTATGTGAGTTCATTTTTGCCATATTTTTGTTCCACTGCAGATATGTGACTGAGCTGCTTGGAGGTGAGACCTATGTCTCATGCTCTGTGGTGCTTCCCGCACTCTGCCATCTCAACCGTGTCATGGATCCCACTGATGAGGATCCTGGCTACATGATAAAGTTCAAGGACACCTTTTCAAAGGACCTAGACTCGCGCAAGGCCACCATCAACAACAGATGGCTGAAGGTGGCTACAGCCCTCGACCCAAGATTTAAGGACTTGAAGAGCATACACAAGAATGAGAGGGCTGAGGTATGTGTGTGACTGAGAAGACCAGTGTTCTGCGAGTGCTTTGGTTAGAAAGTCCTATGCAACAAATTAATTGTCCCTCTTTTAAGGTGTGGACCTGGATTGAGGAGATGCTGCGAGGATCAGAAGCGGGACCTGCTGCTCCTGAACCCACAGAGGATGAGCCAGCAGCAAAGAAGAGCCTCCTCCTGCTGTGTTCTTCAGACTCCGACTCCGACAAGGAGGAGCTGGGGCCTCTAGCCCACTACAAAGTTGAGCCGTGCATTGGAATGCATGAGTGTCCACTGGAGTGGTGGGCAGCTCACGCCGGAGCCTATGGACAGCTGTCCTCTCTTGCTCGCAAATACCTGGCTACTCCCGCAACGTCTGTGCCATGTGAGAGACTCTTTTCACTTGCAGGTAACATCATACAAAAGAAGAGGGCAGCCTTACACTCAGACAATGTAAACAAGCTTGTTTGTCTGAGCAACTGGCTCAAGGAGAAATAAAGTTGTCTGTTGTCAGATCCTGTAACGTTAGCTTGGGGTGGGTTTTTGATTTGAGGAGTTGATACTGTAACCCCAGATCCTCTTTTGGTTTGAATTGTTATGCCCCAGATAATGTAGCTTAAGTGCCTATTTGAGACTCAGCCTTATTTCTGAATTTTATTTATTTACCTGTATTTGTATTGCATTTTCCAATAATGCTCCTGGCCTAGTTGGTTTGCTGGGATGTGCTTGACCTTTTTCTTTTGAATTTCATTTATGAAACACACTTTACCAATAAAAATGTGAATTTCAAATCTTCTCTTCTTAGTGTATTCAATTGATTAGTCAAGCACTACAATTTTGTAATGTCCTAGAATTTGAATTCTTTATTTGGGCACCTTTAGCAGATATGAGATTAAAATGCGATTAATTAGATTAATTAATTACAAATCCTGTAATTAATTAGATTAATTTTTTAAATCGCCTGACAGCACTACTTAAAACCTATGTGGCTCTGTCAGTCTGTCTTGCCTGGTGCTTAAAACAAACTGTTCAACTGCTGTGTGTTTCAAAAGCGGCAACTCGATCCTTGGTCATCTTGGGCTATTCTGACATTAGAAAATACTGTTTAATTACTGTAGTAATTCAGTCCCACCTGTCTGAGCACTGCAGGCACCAATCAGCAGCTAGCCTTCGGATCCTGTGCCAACGATGTGGACTCTCTCCCAAGCAGTACACAACTTATTCTCTCTGCATCGATGCAGCCACTACTGCAGCTTCTGTCGCTCCATCATAGACAATCGAGGCTATGGGTTGCTGGAGCTCGGGAGCATATCAACGTTACATTCGCCCTGATACTAACAAAATATTATCAACCCAAAAAGCTATCAGTAGCGCATGTAATTCTTATGATGAATAAATCCTATTGGCAGTAATCCTGTTTCATCGAAGGTAACATTTCCTGTCATGAAATATTTCTTTACAATCATTCTAATCAGTGCGCTGCCAGGTGCGTAATATTTCCCAGCTGGGGGCAATTCTATCTAGTAAGTCCACCCACCACGGAACCTAGAGTACACGTCATGCTTGATTTCCCACACACATTTACACATAGAATATTTCTCTGGAGCAGGCCACTGTAACGCCCAGTGCCCTGCCGCATGTTCTCTGCCTGCTCTCGGCACGCGCCGATCCTCGTACGCAGTTGAGAAGTTCTCGGATGCTTACCAGAATTCAGAGTGAAATGCGACTAAGGTGTCGCTACACAGTCATTTCACATAGACCATTTCCTCTGGATCAGCGCACTGTAACACCCAGTGCCCTGCTGCATATTCTCTGCCTGCTCCGCACGCAGTTGAGAAGGTCTCGGATACTCCCAGAATTCAGAGTGAAATGCGACATGATGTCGCCACACATAGCCGCTCCATTCATACTAATCATTCCACAGGCCGTGATTCCACTCATCTGCTCCCTAGGAGCGCAGTTTTGGGGATCTA